GACAGTGGAAATAACCTTCCCACACACCAGCATCTACATCGCTCCCTTTTAGATCAAATCTATTTAGCCAAGGTGCTCATTGATATTCCTTCACCTATAAATCACCTACACAGTGTTCACTGGGAGATGAGTGTTGTTTGCGATATGCAACTCCTCCACAAGCTGACAAAATAGTGACTTGCACAGGACTGCATATTTTAAAAATGTGCAAAGACACTCTGTGTGAGGGCTGAACATGGTGCTACTGTGCAGACATCAGAAGAGCACTAGTTGTACTGGGAAGCTGTTTGATATTTGACATGAGTGTATGAAAGTGTTTGCTGAAATTTTAAACAGTGAAAATATATTCTGACAAGACCTCGCTCCAATTTGCGTTTAACCAATCCTGGAGTAAGGCTGCCCTCTGCTGGACACAAAAGCTAACGTTACCAATCAGCCAATCACACAACACCAATTCAATGAATTTAGTGTATGTAATGATCAAGATGAGTCATTGAAGCCTAAACTGAGCTGAAGAAAGATGATTCTAGTGAATTTGAACGTGGCGTGGCTGATGGTGCCTGACGGGCTACTTTGAGTATTTCAGAAACTGCTTATCTAGGGGAATTTCCCCGTCCAGCTGTCTTAAGAGTTTATGGTCTGAAACAGATCAACTATACTGTCAGCAGCAGCTCACTGGCCAAAATGCCTTGTTTATGTCAGAGGACAGTGCTTCAAGCTAATGTGAAGGCAACAGTAGCTCAAATAACCACGAACTATGCATGCAAAAGAACATCTCTGAACACACAACATTGCAAACACCAAAGCAACTGAAAACCTCGCACAGCTTAACACCAACGATGCACCTGAGTATTGTTGCTGACCATGTCCATCCCTTTGTAACTATAGTGTACTCATCTTCTGACGGCTGCTTCCAATAATAATAATAATAATAATATGCCACGTCATAAAGCTCAAATGGAACGGGAGATTTGCATCAGTGAGGCAGTCCAAAATTTTCCAGCAGCTGTGTAATGCTAACATTTTAACTTGGACCAAAAAAAAGAAAGAAAAAAATAATCAACTAAAAAAGGCAATTCAGAAGGCAAAAAAAGGAGATCTAACCCAGTACTACCAAGGTATGCCTAATATAGTGATCATTTAGTGCAAAGGCAGTTCTTCCAAAAGCAAACTTTTCTATTGAGAGTATGCGTATGAATTTAGAAGCTGCAACACGATACAGATCTTCATTCTCTTCCTAAGCCTAGGCATCAGCATAATGATCAACCACGCTTATATCAGAGAATCAAAGCAAAAACAGCAGTTTCTTTGAAGTTTACAACCCACAAGCCACGAATAAAATTATTTTTAAGAAGTAACAATAAACAAGATTGAATGTACATACGCAAGAATATGATCAATATGTTAAAATATAAGAGCTAGAAATGATAAATAACAGTGTTCTGTAATGTACGAGTAAACTATGTTGATGTCTACTTTTAAAGTGCAAAGTTTTTGCAGTAGTATTATAATGACATAGCACTAAACTCTTAAAAAAAAAACTTACAAGGACACAGTGACACTTTATTCTTTACTGCAAAATAAAAGTGGCAGTGTAAATGAAGCAGAAGGTCTCTATGTACTTTAAATGTGGGTTTTTGAAATGATGTTCAGGCATTAAGATTCATACTGACTGGGATAAGTCATAGCCAGAATTTGATTACTGCTGAAGCAAAGCTGTTACAACTGTCTGACTAAATTACACACAGTGCAAACTCATTTACAGCACCAGATGTTTTTACACTTAAAGTCTATTTCTGTCTCATTTCATATCCTTCTGTGTGCAGAGGTGATAAACACAGTACTTAATGGGTTCCAGTCACACTGGCACATCTGATATCTTAATAAATGAAAAACATAGACACACTCAGAGGCTTCTCTTGGCCAAATACTCAGCTTCTGGTATCATTTTAGTCAGAGAGAAAATACTGTTAAACCTGAACAATTTTCCACAAATAAGTAAACAGTAGTGGTGCAACGGATCACGGTTGATCCGTAATCCAAACCGATCCCACTCCACGGTTCGGCACACACGTGATCCGAAGATTCGAAAAAGAAGAAAAAAAGTTTGTGTATGGTGCGCGTGGTCAGTCTGTCAAGCGATAACTATGGTCAGCGCTAGCGGTCCAAGTGGAGGAGCAGAGGAGTTTGGGGTATTTAAGCAGCCCTTTGCTACCTAAGCCGACCGGGCTAAAGCTATTACAAAAGCTATTGGGGTGTTTAGCTGCAGACAGGAGGCCGTATTCTGTTGTGCAAAACAAGGGTTTTAAACTAGTCAACGCGTTAGTTGACGCATTGGCGCTGTGCAGCCCCACGCACGGGGCGGTCCGCGGTAACTAGCTAACAGAGATTTGCCGCGTTAATGCAGTTATGGCATTAACATCATTTTAACGAGATTTACGCTGACAGCACTAGTTTAAACTATGATGAAGGTGCTTGAGCCACGCTATGACATCCCATTGCGCGTCCACTTTAGTGACAAGATCGCTCCAAGCACGTATGAACAGGAAAAGTTTAAAGTTATGGCTGAGCTGTCCCAGGCATCTTCTGTTGCCCTAACTAAAAGTGGGTGGACCTCCAGGGCAACGGAAAGCTACGTGACCGTGACCGCTCATTATATCACAGCGGAGTGGGAGATAGAAAGCCCTGTACTGCCCTATATTGCACCTTAATTTGTTTTTATATAATTGCGTGGAATGAGTCTTGAGTTGAATGTTTTTTGATAGGCAAAAAAAAATACTTAAATAAGTAAATGACGAGTTAAATTTTTGTCTTCTTTTTTTTCTGCTGATCCAAAAATTGATCCGATCTGTGACGAAAAAAAAACATGATCCAATCCGAACCGTGAGACTCTTGATCCGTAGCACCACTAGTAAACAGGATCCAACATTATAATATATGAAAAATGTAAAGTGACACAACAAATAAAGTAACCAGGGATACTTTGTGCAAAGTGTTTAAAGATAGTGTGCTAAAGAGTTGGTTAGGTTTTTATAATATGCATCTGTTTGTTTCCCATAGGGTTGGTCGATTGGACAAATATATCGACTATCGACGATAGGTTGAGCCTATGGTCAATAGGTTTTACAAGGGCGATTTATTTATCTATTTATTTGCCCATGAGTAAGTTTGCTAATAATGATGGAGCTAATAGTAGCAGTCAACAGAAAAGAAAAGTGCCGTTTTAACAGGACCCTCTTTCATCGGCGAGCAAATGCACCCTCCTCAGAGTGCGCCCAAATGCTGATGGAGCTGCAGAAGCTGGTGATAGCCTAGATTGCCGGTTGGAAAATTTTTACATATCGCCCAACCCTAGTTTCCCAGGCACAAAAGAGCAAACAGATATCGGGGAAAGCAAAGCAAATGAACCCTGGCATTCTCATTAGCTACCTGCTAAATTGTTACTTTGCTGTCGGCAATGATCAGTACAACTTTTACTCTTCCTGTTACAATAGAGGTATACCTTCTGCTGGTGTTCCTTAGATTCAAAAGTGCACCTAGTCTGTCAATTAGATTGGTGAAATACTCACCTATCAAATCTGTGGGATTCTTCTCATTGAAGTGTTCACAGAGCCTGATGAACATCTCAGTGGTCTCTTCTGAAGGACACTCCCCATGGCTAAAAAGGTACAGGGTGACATTAGTATTCAACACATTAGCATCCACAGTTCTGCAAAATGATGAATTTGAACAGTTAATTTGTGACAATGCTTTTTAATCTTACCCCTTACACTGAAGCTTCATATATTTTATCCCTTCTTTTTCAATTTCACTGCGGTCATAAAAGCGAGTCGTGTTCGTCAAGTCTACGAGCAAACCCATTTTCACCTGAGGAGGAGAGAAATGGGCACTGTGAGGGAAGGTTTTCTGTGCCACTTTAATACTTATGTCCTTGCTGAGGGTACTTACCTTTAGACTTTTTAAATAGTTGGACAGCATGCTCGGATTGAACCTGTTCTCCTCTGCAACTTGGTCATCATATCTGGGACCTAACATCGTTTTCATTGGCAGGAATTTCTCTAGGAAGGAGAAATGTAATGAATGAAACAAAAAAATCCTGCAGTATTCTAGTACTAAAACTCTTCTTGTAAACTAATCTTGTATGAGCAGGGACAGCAGCTTTGTCCCTAATTTAATGACTAGTTTTTAGGGTTACGGCTAAGAGTCTAACTTCATACAAAGTCAAATCTACAAATTCAGATAAATCAATAAAAATAAAATCACTGACTAAGTATTTGTCAAGGTCACATTCAATTAAGCATTAGACAGCACCCCAAGTGCATTTGTTTTGTAAAGAACTTGGTTAATAGCCAATAAAACTGTGGATCCATTTGTGTAAACTACACAGAATTTCTTAGAATAAAAGCCTGGATTAAAAAGTGCCACCAACTCCAGCTGTGCCTTTAAACACAGCATCTGTGTAAACTGTTGCACTGTTATAAAGTTGAGGCGGAGAGGAGACAAGCCTGCAATTGCAGGTTTTACAGAAATGTCTCAACATCACATAACTGTAATGATAACAATGATGAATGGGCGAAATAAAACAGTAACACCAATACTTTTGTATAAATTGTTAACAAGACAGCCTTGCATCACTTAAGACTGGGAACTTAGACTTGCACTGTCCAACTTTGACCTTATAACTTCCTTCTACTTATGTTGGGCTGTTATTTTGACAGTTGTACATTGCAATAAGGAATACATATAGGAACAGATCTATATCCACAGTCCATACTGGCATTCGTATCAACACAGTTTTATCCACATCTATCCTTTCAAGCTATTAATACAGAACAGAATGTAGTAAAAGTTGCACACATTCCCAAAGTCTGCTACTGACCACTGAATTATTTAGGATATCCCCAGGGTGGCTGTGGCTACAATGTAGCTTACCATCACCAGTGTGTGAATGGGTGGATGACTGGTGTAAAGCGTTTTGGGGTCCTTAGGGACTAGTAAAGCACTATACAAATACAGGCCATTTACCATTTATTTAGGATATACTCAGGCTGTCTATCACTGACCAGTCCCAGGAAACACTGGTACACTTTTAGCTATGAAGCACAGTTGTCCACCTGTCTGTCTTTGCCAAGACACTACACTCCAAGAAGCAGCTCCTTTCCTTAACCTCAATGACATTTTCATCAATGTCAAGGAAAAGAAGCTGGGAGGTAGTTTTAAAGATACCCCAACTGTACAGCATTTCTCTCCCTCATGCTCTTGATCCACATTTTTTTGACTGGCTTAGGTTTTACAGAGGCAACATTACAACTCAGACACTTTTCTAAATTCTGGCTTTTAATGAAGGACTCCGAGGTTAAAGAAAGAACGTCATTGTCCATCTCTTGCAGGTTAACAAGTCTTTCACAGAAAACATCAAGTGACCACAGACTTACAAGCCACGCAGATTTTTGTGCAATATGATGATATCAGTCGCAACTAAAATTAAATCCAGCTACAGTCAGTTAAAACATCTAATAACTGTATGAAACTGGTGGAAGGTGAATTCTCCGATACTTTGGTTCATTTTTTTTCTCAGTTATTTTTGGATCTTAAAAGAAACCTGAAGCTCAAAAACAGATGCAGCAGCTGATGGGTGCATACCTAAGATAAAGATAAGATAAGATTTTAGTGATCCCACGGCGGGGAAATGTGTGCATTACCACAGCTCAGGTACAGATAGCAGAAGAATACAAAGACTATACCAGAATAACACCAAAATACCTACTGGAAATCATAGTATTATCAGACAAAAACAGCAATTGCAATAACAGTTAAGAGTTTATAGATTATAAAAAGCAAAAGAGAAAGAAAGGTGGCATTCAAATACATTAAAAAAAAATAAAATGCTTCTCGTGCTAAACGCCTCTCAGCATTAGTAATGTGTCACACACGTATGCTCGCCGTGAGCTCCTCAAGCCATAGCCCCGGTTTGTTTGGACACGTGATTCTTTGACGGTGAAGCATACCAACTTAGCAGCACTTTTCTGAAGCTCTTTTTAAAACTTTTTCTTTTAAAACCAATGGACTACCATACGTTGTGTTTGTTCAACATAAAAGTCACCCTAAACGCTGAAAAGAAGCGGAAAACATTGCTAAATAGTTACCGTTAGCGACCTAGCAAAAAGAGCGCGCACGAATACAGTGTCAGAGAAATTTCCATTAAAAATATGCCAAAATTAAGTTAATTCCATATAAATACCAAAAGAACAAACCCTTTTAACTAAATCAAGCTTACAAAATGTGTTGACGTCATTCAATGAAATCGGCGCTTTGATTTACACTTCATTTAAAAGATAACGCATTCATTTTTACAACAGAGAAACAGAGCTTAAATATGTGGTAATCTTTCTGTACTTACAGACCGAACATGGACCAACACAGCCCATTACTGCTACTTAAATCTGACAGTCTAAAATAATAAATAACTGATATATATCAGGCAACAAGCATCACAGCAACACAATTGAACGAAGCTAACTAGTAGCAATAGCTTCATCTGGTAAATAAAACACTATTCTCTTAGTTAAATTCATACTAACCTGCCACAAGTTGCCCTCTTCTAGGACAATTGCGCCATCGAGGAGGAGGTCCGTTATTTGACATGTTGAGTTGAGGTTGGTAATATCTAAAAGCCTCTAATATCAATAACCCCGTTGCTTGATGCTGCTTCTCTCCCCCACAGCAGATGCTGGGTAGATATTCACCCGAGCACTGCGGACTCAGGGCCCTTTAGCTCCTAATTCAGGAGAATCAGCCAGCAAGTTTAAGCCCGGTTAACCTTCTGACAGACTAGGAGGCATTTTACACGAAACGCAGGCTGTTCCGATCCACTGCAGATCAGCCTCTGAAGAAATTCAGCTATCTTTTTCATTTGTCTACCATAAATCTAGGTTTTTAGCAATCAGCTAGCAACACCTCAGTGAGCCTTCTTCTTCTTCTTCTTCTTCTACTGGTATTTTTATACGGCGGCAAATCGTATCCGTGCATTATCGCCACCCTTTGGACTGAAATGGTTGCTGCAGCAGCTTGAAAGCTAGTTCATTTATTTACAAAGAAGAAGAAAAAAAACCCACAAACGTTCTTACCTTATTCTTTTATTTATTTGTCAACACTGCTTTAAATTTAAATTTATTTATTATTTATATTCTACAGTTTGATGGTGAGTAAATTCTCCAAAATTTAATTCTGATTCTAACTGGTATATATTCTGAATGACAATAAAGTGTCTATTCTATTCTATTCTATTCTATTCTATTCTATTCTATTCTATATGTGTTTAGCTCCTCTCCTCTTTATGTAGACCTATAGTTCTTTTTTTTATTTCCCCCACCTGTTGACAATACACAGAAATTTGTTTTTGTGTATTGTGTTTCTTTCTGTCTTTATATTTCATACCTTTCTTTTAGTTTATTTTGACAGATTTACATGTCTTTGATTGATTATCTGTTTTAGCTGTGGGGTAGATATTACTTGGCTTAAAAAATACATATAATATCATGTATCGCTAGTATTTATTTTATTGCATGTTGTCTCATGTCGTTTGGCTCTGTTTTGAAAGGTTTTCAAAAATTTATTGGCAACTTCAGCAGATCTCTTTACATCAACCAGATAAAGTGAGACGTATGCAGTACAATAAACAGTGATAGAAATCCGTATGACACAGTGGATTGGACTTTCTTTTTACATCCAGAGCTACCTTAATTATTTGTGGCATAGACTCAAAGTGCTGGAAACATCCCTCTGAGATTTTGGTTCATATTGACATGATGTCATCACACAGCTGGTGCAAATTTGCCGACTGCATCAATGATGGAAATCCCCTGTAACACCACCTCCCAAAGCTGCTATTTTGGATTGAGTTCTGATGATTGTTGAGGCCATTTGAATACAGGGAACTCACTGTCATGTTGAAGAAATTAGTTTGAGATGATCTGAGCTTTGTGATTGAAAAATTTTCCCGCATAACCATACGCCAGCAGCAGCAGCAGCCTGCACCAAGACAGGATATATCCAATCCTGTTGTTTATGCCAAATTCATGGAGGAGGTGAGTGTACACCACACAACACCATAGAACACTGGTGTATGTGTGCATAATTTATCTTGAAATATTAACACATTTTTCCCTTTCACCAGTCTAACAGTGCATTAGTGGAAAATATAAGTGAGCTGGCTCACTTTCTTATGAATGTGTACTGTGGTTTCTCCAATTACACTCAGTGCCATGCACATTACAAAGCCTTGCTCACACTAATATATGGTTACATGCAGAATACTTCAAACATTTTGTCATCAAATAACAAAACAGGGTGTCAAGTACAACATTTATTCACTTTATTTCATACTTTTTTGTTTTTGTCTGTTTACAAGACATATGGCAGAGACGCTTCTGCGCGGTGAATATTTATCAACACAATAACAACATTTACATTTTAATGACTCCTCCAGTTTACAAATGACACAAAGCGATAAAGCAAAAAGAAATGCAGCGAGTCACACCTCAACAAACATCAAGCATATAATACATGGCTAAAATATTTACAACAAAATATCACAATACTATAATACAGACTGTACATAAAACCAGGATCAGTGTCATAGCAAAGCATGTCTAGAATGCTAAATCCTGGGAACACTATATCATATTTCCAGTGGTGATAACTCATATCCTTAAATCTTTTCATCTCTTCACATTAAATGAAACCTATTCTTGCTGTACGGCTGAATACATTGAGATGACCTAATAAAGCAGCTACTACATACACAAAAACGGTTAAACATGTTTGTATCCTGTTGTTCCACAGTGCTAGGCAACTTAATGACACACACACAGAGATATCAAACCATATCTATTTCTTTCACAGCTGACTGACCGCAAATCTATCTGCATCATTTACCTTCACTGCTCTCACCTCTTATGATCTTGTTCAATCATGTCTAATGTGACATATATGGTCTTAAGTAATGCCCTTTCTTGCTGTTTTACTGGCACGTGCTTACTCAGTTTTTCAGTCTCTGGGACAGGACTCTCCACAGAACTCTGACTTCGATAGGGGTTGGCTGTGCTGCTGTCTGAGGAAATTAATGCAGTGGATTCTCCAGGAGAGGGAGGCGTCTTTGCAGGTTCAACTGGACTTTCATCCTCCGTATAAAGACCAAGAGTCATTCCTGAGTTTGCGTAGTCCACTATGTATTCACTGGCTGTGTTAGTATCATAGCCTGTAACTAATGAAGGGGTAGATGTGCTCTGCGCTTTCTCTGGGTATACTGTATCACAGTGACTTTCAGATGGATTTCTGAATGGCTGGAAGCAGATTCCCTATGGATACAAACACACAGACAGAAGGGAGCCATAAAACAAAAAGCTAGGATGAATTACAGCAGCTTTTATATATTATCAAGACTCGGGCATGGATTGTTTCTGTAGTCAGTGAAAGCTAAACCCTACATAGACATGATAACTCAGGATAGAGGACCTCTGGAAGAGGAAAGATGTTAAAGGAGTCACAGTGCATGGACACATAAATGAGTTCAAGACAGACACTTCAAACTATGACAAAAAACATCTGTAAAACATCTGTGTGCCATTCCAGCAAGCAGGTTCAACAAACTCGGGAACAAAACATAAACTCTGAGTTGCTATAAACTCAGAGAGTTGAAACAGCCCTGATTATGTTCACCCTGAGTGAAGAAAGCATGCGTGAAAGAGGATAGCAATCATCGGTGAAGCTCTGATACCAGGATTCCCCATGGCAACAGGTAAATAAAGAGCAGCACATGAATGCTTATGAATCTGGACCGTGATAGCTATCATAAAAAAACATGAGGGGAGAAAAGGGTCATTTAAAATCCTCCAACTTGAATTGTTTTAATTGCTGAAGCTCGAATTCCACCAAATTTTACATTTGATTTTTAGATCAGATTTTTCAGTTGTAATCTGACAAATTACAGAAAATGAAAACTGAAGAAATGGAGCAAACACATAAGACAGTTTATTCATGGACCTGCGATATCCGTCAGCCCAGTAAGATTGATTTTGGAGATTATCATTGGGAGTAGTTGAGGAATTTATAGACATTGCACCTTACTAAATGTTGCTCAGTGTCATGTGACTGTATTTGACTGCATGACTATACTCAAACCTGAAGTGCCATCAGAACATATTAGAGCTCTCTGCAGTTATGCAAACATAGCATATCAGCACAAATATTCATGTGGGCTAATTTTACAGTCACCTTGGAGTCACTGAATAGAGTCAAATGTAAGTCCATCTTCCCCTAGAGATAAAGCTAAGCCCAGCTCTAAAGTTACACACTATGTATCGCACCATCATTGCATTGTAAACGTGCATATATGGATTTGGTAATACAAAAAATGTATGCATATTTTTATACTTGAGCCTAATCTGTCTTCACTGCTAGAACTGTGACTACAAAAATACAGAACACACCAAAAATACTTGTTCAGTCAAACTAATTTCATAATACTAATTTCTGACAAACTAAAGGGATTTTTGTGTCAACACAACCAGGCAAAGAAAGCCTGGTTGTGTTGAACTTCCTTTATAATATAGGCCTCAGGAAGTCTGGGGGGAAACTGTTTAAGATGATATTCAGAAAACCACTTTCAGGACAACTGAAAATACCAATTATTATTTTTTATTAATCCAGCCGCCAGATTTTGGTAGTTAACTTTTTGATTAAATCACAGAATCTTTTTTTCAGATCTCAGAAATTTGAGGTGAATGTGCAATGATCAAGAAAAAACATCTTAAACAGCTTTTTTCATTCAACACAACAAAGTCAGAGAGACTCAGTTTGCTGACACATGTGACAAGGTAAAACAGAAAACCCTCACACTGTAAAATGTGAAAGTAAATTACCGAGTAGTCACTTTAGCAGAAATATAGAATAACATTCAGCTTCTCTACAATTCAAGAAAGCACAAGCTGATGTATTTCTACCTTTTTTTGCTTGACAATGAAAAACCTACAATTTAATCATGCAACTTCTTCAGCAACATTAATGCAGATATAATGCATCCCACTGGACAGCCTCAGATAATAACACACATAGTGAAGTTAAAAACAAGCAGAGACACATGAGCACAAAGAAAATCTAGAAAACCCATGTGAACAGACACAACGACTGGACTATTTATACACCAAGGAGTGATTTGGGATTAGAAACGGGGAGAAAAACAGGACAGATGTGCACATAATCAAAACAGATGGTGGGGACAAAAATAAATCTGAAAAACTAAAAGAAGACAAATGAGAAAGCAAACTAACAAAGTAAAAATGAGAAGAGGAAACAATAACTCAAAAGCCTAAACTACATGTGAAAATATCACCGCCCCATCCCGTAAAATTCATCATTATAAATCAAGGGCCATGACATCCTCGTCACCTTTTGTTGACTTTGCGATGCCCAAACACCCACAGAGCTGAGGGCTGGATTTGGCACGGGCTTCTCCTGGAATTTCTTCCATCTAAACAAATAACACACATCATTAACACATCGTTAGGAAGAAATCTGTAGAAGTGTTTGGTGCCAAAAATGTAATCACAACATGACCACAAAGTCTTAACACATCAGAGCCTGTCTTCCACTATTGATGGCCTGGAAATGTTTTTGGTTCAGTGTTTGCATTCAAAAGGAGCTCATAACAAATCGTCAATAACAAAAAGAGACTGAAACTTACTGAACAGCAACGCATAATCCGAGAAATAACACCAGGAAGATGATAACGCTTCCAGCGACACTGAGTGGAGTAACAAGCCCTGGATCTGTTAAAGACATTTCAATTGATCATTGAGCACTTTGCAGAACAGACATTAAACACTCTTTAAAAAATCACTGACTGGATTTATACAGTTTTAAATAATTTGTATTACCACAGCAAAGAAAAGAAAAAGTTCATAACATTCGATTTAATTCAGATACTAGTCCAGTGAGTCATAACATTAGAGGTTAGGATCTT